ATTCCGTGGAGAGCACGAGATGTATTATGGGGATAACAAAATTGGTAATCATTTAGTGCACCGCTGAATCCGTAAAACAACTTCAAGCACACATATATTCTGGCGACAATTGGTTTCCGAATGGAGAACAAGTTCGCAACTGTCATAAGGAACCAACGGACAACATTCAGTGAAGACAAGCAGAGGTGCTGAACATTGTTTGTAACTGTCATAAGGAACCAACAGACAGTATTTAGTGGAGACAAGCAGAGGGGGTGAACCGTAAAACAGGGCGGCACACGCAGAACAAGGGCGAGCCAAAACATGTGAAAGGTGGGTGGTCGAGGTGGGGCGGGGGAGCAGGGCTTTCACACCACAAAGTCTCGCGAAAGAAAGAGATAAGCACGAAATAATTTGGCGACCAAGAATAAATCGTTGATATATTTCACCAAGAGCATGAGTGTAAAATGTCCACAAGAGGACGAAGACGTCCCATGAGTAACAGAGGGGCACAACCTCGAAACGAACAAACGCAACACGATGCGGCAAATGCAGCACGGTGCTGTCGCGGTCTCAGAGGACAAAAGGAGAACAACCCGAAACTAAACAAAGGGAGCACAAAGTCGGGATATTCACATCCCATATGTAAGCGTCTACTTAAAAGTCACCGCACCACGTGGCTGGAATATTTACATCGGCATCTAAGATTCTACTTCACGTAAGCGTCCGCTGCAACCCTCTAACTGATGTTGCGCGACAAGCAATGAAAACAACCGGAAAACAAACAAAGGTATCACGGCGCTGCTGAAAGTCGTGCGAGTAAAGATGACAGGTTCCTCGAAATGAAGAACCCTTAAAAAAGTTGCTACAGCACGAGGCTAGGATATTCACATCGACACCTGAGCGTTTACTTGACCAAAACGTCCACTGCAATCTGGTACCTCATCAAAACAACAGCACAACTCGAACCGGCCCAATGGTAGATCAAGTGGGAATAGATTCGCACTTCTGCTTATGGCCTTTCGAAAAAAAAAACTACGCGTATTTTAATAACAATGGTATCATTTAGAGCCTAAGTGTATGTCCATCGCAATCCTCAGCAGGATGTTTGGAATGTCGTTTTGGGCTATCGGAAATGGTGGCGGATAGCCGCGTGCAAGAAATGAAGCGAAGGCGAGCATGAAAACACCGCAGCTCGACCCGTCCGACTGTTGAGGGACACCACAAACAACCACCTTGGGCTCCTGGAGATCCACTTTCGTTTTTTGACCATAATGACAAACTGCTTCGTCACGGAGGTATTGCGTGAAATTCGCAATCACATCGGAAGAAAAACCGCCATCGTCTTGTAGGAGGGAGTCGTAGTACTCCAGCCCTTGCTCTCGGGGACATAATAGAGTCCAATGCATTCCATGTTTATGGACAGGAATCAAGACCATCTCGTACGAGAAAATATCCACATCTTTTGTCCATTTCGTGACCCTTTCATGTCGATAGCCGCCACCGACGAGCTTGGTATAGAAAAAGAGACTGAAAATGTAAAGAGAGGGACACCCAGGCAACGCAGAGTTGGCAAGCAAGGCCAAGTATGACTCCACCACCTCGTCGGAAAGCCATTCCCCCTGAACAAGAGTTGAAGACTTTTTCTGCTCAACAAAAATGAACTGGCCCCTTTGCGAACCGAGGAAACCACCTCGTGGCCGTTGCTGAAATCTCCGCTGACGTCTTGCAACATTCTCAAGTCCGTAGCGCTAAGCTCCTCAGTAGGCAAGGGAACGCGAAAACATGATGTAGCCCCAGCTGCACAGACACCCACGAACAAGTGTGAGGAGTGACCAAAATCACCGGGGCGAAACGGCTAAGAATCGTCTGCCCTTTTCCCATAAACGTTGTATCCCCGACTGTTGAATGTATCTTTAACGTGTACTTAGGACACGGGTCTTTCAAGACACCCCGTTTGGCATCATCATCAGACCCAGCAGACAAAGCAGTAACGCTTTTAATAGACTCAACCAAATGTTTCCGCAAACCTTCCTCCTTATCTATTCCACAAACCTTCAGAACCGTGACAACTCTCTAGGAAAGGCGAGGCATCTGGACCCTTTTAAACAACCCTACACTTGACGACTTCTTCGGTAAAGCAGCCAATGATCTCCCTGAAAGACATTTCTCGCTCACGGCGTTTACAGGCTTCATGGGCAGGAACATTGACAACCTCACACCTGTAGAACATAGAAAACAACCCACAACCCACAAGATTTTTTTTAACAAGTAGCAAAAGGTGCATGAGCCCATCACATCAATTTGGACGAACACAGTGCTGGCTAGTAACAGATATGCGAGTGCTCCTTCCTATTCACAAATCTTACCGTGCTCGGGAGCCCTTTGAGGGAACTCGCCCTCCTGTCGCATCACTGCGCCAACGTCCACGGACGATTCGACGTTCTGCACCTCGGCCACGGCTACGTCGCTAACCAGCTCTGTGGCAGCTGAGTAGCTAGGCAAGTCAATGACTTCATGAAGCACCATTTCCCGACCCGTACTGAGGACAGATGCTCGATCACCCTGTGCTGCACCGCAACGGGTGGACGGAGAATCATGATCTTTCCGCTCTGGATCCATCTTGATGCTGACGGCCACCTCACCGCCTTCCACGGAGGATTCGACGTTCTGCACCTCGGCCACGCATGAGTCGCTAACTAGCTCGGTGGCAGCCGAGTCGTCCCCCAACTCTATGGTTTCATGAAGCACCATTCCCCGAGCAGTGCTGAGGACAGACGCTCGACCACCCTGTTCTTCACCGAACAGGTGGGCGAAGAATCATCATTTTTTCGTTGTGGATCCGTCTGGACGCCGACCGTCACCTCACCGCCTTCCACCACGGGTTCTCCGCCTTTCTCATCACCATGAACCCGAGCTTCCACCGCGGGTTCTTCTTCGCCTTCATCATCGCCAAAAACGGGAGCTTGCACGAACGTCCACTGACCTCCCTTGACGACACCCTCTCTCGTCGTGGCCACAACCGAACGACTGTGCAGAACCTCTTCGGACGTCCCGATCACCAGCACTCCAACGTCGAGCCCCTTCAGGACTTCACGAGCCGGCCAGGGTTGAGTCTCCTCTTCCCGCTGCAGAGCATGCGTTTCCCCCGGAGCTGCTGCACTCTTGCTGTCAGTGTCCACGGACGCACCCTCCGAAGCATGACGTTCTTACTCGTTACCCCCGGTCTCCAACACTTTGCGAGACTGTCAACGTTGAGTCTCCTCTTCCCGCTGTATAGCACGCGTTCCCGGAGAGTGCTCCTCTTTCCCACGAGCTGCTGCACTCTTGCTGCCAACGTCGATTGGCACACCCTCCGAAGCATGATGTTCGCACTCGCCACGCCCGGTCTCCAACACTCCTGCAGGGGCCCCCTCCAACATGTCGTGAGACCACCAGTCTCGAGTGTCAACATATGAGAACGGAGGTGAGCAGGGGAACCCTGTGTCCAACTGAAGATGCGGGGGGCAGGACGTCACATTTTCTTCGGCCCGCGGAACTGCCGCGTGAGGAGCACTTATGGCGGCAGGTAAAACAAAGACGCTCCTTCGCAATACAGGCATCCCGCCCTCCAGGTAAAACAAAGACGCGCCCTCTTTCGGGAGCAAGGTGTTGAGCACAGGAGACCTCTGCTGCGCACGGCGGGATGGACTCTTCCCGGCAACAGGAAACAAAGTCCTCGCAGACAAGTGCGAATCTACTCGCATTTGATCAGACCTTAGGGTGGCCTCGTCTCGCATGTCGGAATCTCGACTCTCTACGTAGTGGGGGTCAGTTTCCATACACTGGGGACTCCCGGACGTTCTATGCTTTCCGCCCGACCCCTTCCCACCCGACCCCTTCCCGCCCGACCCCTTTCTGCCCGAGTCCTTTCCGCCTGACCCCTTTCCGCCGGACGCCCTCTCTCCCGATGACGTCTCGCCTGTCCCCTTTCCGACAATCTGTGAGCCGTCTCCTCCGCCACCTCCGCCCTCTCCTTCGTCTCCTCCTCCACCCCCTCTCGGATGCTGACCGCCCGACGGAGGTTGCGGCATGCGCCAGTCAATGCCACGAGACAAGGCCGTTTCGAGTGTATAGAAAGGCACTCGAAACTCCAACATTTTGCTGGCGTACAACTTCTTTAGCTTTTGTTCTGCATACGCAACGACGTCCGGATCGCTCCTTTCGGGGTTCATAAGACTCAAATGCTCCACTAAAGCATCTCTCGCTGTTCTCTTAAATGTACCCGCTCCCAGTCTCTTCATTCCACTCCACTTGCCATCGGCCTCCTTCATTGCCATGACCCACTTTCCATTCTTCACAGCAGGTTGGAATATCCTCGAATGCCAGACGATGTTGTGTCCCCAGACATCCTCCGACGTGAACCGGTGATGCTTGCCGAAGAAGTAGAGTCTGTAATTCTGCCTTGTGCTATGGTCCATAGGGAGCCTGTCAGAAGGTTCGTGATCATAGTCTTTCTCTTCCTCCCCGTCATCATACGATTGGTCGTCGGCTGGTTCGCCCCAAAACACACGCTTCAAACCGGAAGGAAACGTGCTGTATCTCCGAGGACCACCTTCCCCTTCATCACCAACCTGTCCAACCACCCGAGGAAGTGGCATGGACTCGAAATCGAAGGTTTCGGAGTCGCTCAGCTGCTTCATGTCTTCAGCATCGAAAGGGTTCTCCTCGCCAAACTGTGCCTTGTAGTTTTCTAGGGTGAGCGGTTCAGCCAGCATGAAGTAAACATGCTCCAGCCTTCTCAGGAAATGCGAGACAGTCTCCCAGGGTGCATCGTGGTACCCATTCAGCACACCGAACACCAGGTTTCTCCGTCGACTGTATTCGAGGTTGGTAAGAGATGGCGGTCCAGGTTGGAAAAGGAAGTCTCAAACCTACGTCCTTTTGTTCCCCGGCAATTTCCAATACATGTCATGTTTGGGATCCCAGTTTCGTTCGCCGGTGGTCCGGACAAACTCGCAAGCATTGCGAGTGTCTGCCACGCGTGTCTTCACGAACTCGTTAAGGTAATCGAACATTTTCTCCTCGTTCTCCAACGGGACGACGTTCCGACCGGTGCGCAGGAGCCCCCACACGACAGACGCATGCGTCTTCCCAAAGAAAAAAACAGTTTGCCTAGCTGTACAAAAGTTTTTGAGTAGACCAAGTAGATGGGACGGGTTCCGCTTCATCTCCCCGTAAGCATCTCCACTAACACTTGTCACGCCGCCGTCCTCCCACATGCTACGAGGGAACTTGTCGTTGTCCGCCACGTCGAAACACGCCACAGCCTGTCCTGACGGGTCAGACGAATAGACAGCTTTCGAGCGGGCCGCCAGCGCGTGTTTGGCCGGACTTGGACCATGAGCACGGGAAGCCTTTGTCGGGCTATTGGCCGGGTAGACTGCGACTGTCTGCCAGGTTCTCGCCATTGAAAATAACGTACAGGCCGTCACACTCCTCAACCAGCATATTGCCTTCCCGGACAGTGACCTGCTTTTGTGCATGGCGCACCCACTTCCCTGTCCTGACGTGATGGATGCTAAGCCTGGCCATGCCTTTCAAGAAACCGAGCTCCCATCGAGAGGGGAAAATGACCACAAGTGCCCAGTGCGTTGGCAACAATGTTTGGAGAACGCCTTGCAAGTTGGCGAAATCGTCTTCTCGCCAGTCTGAGAGGAGTGTGCGATCACACAAATCGAGGATGTACAGGTTGCACACGTAATGTCGCACAATCTCATGGATCTCAGTGATATGATTGTGAGCTTGGGAAGGCGGGAAAGCGAAAGGAATAAGGTTGGTCACCCGGTTGAGGTTGGGCCATTTTATGTGCCTCACATCCCCGCTGACCCTGATCATGTCTCAAACTTCTTCTTTCGTCCGTCGTAAGATGGAACGGACAGACTTTTCGAAAGATTTAGGGAACCTGTCATCCTCGTACAATCTCTTCGCGTCGTCGAGGGACTCCTTCTCGTGCAGAAGAGTACATTTGCAAGTGTTCACGTACTCCACCGCGCTCTGGAAATGCCTTCGCAGTTCTGCCCACACTTGTCGAGTGAGGCCCTGCGGCCCGAACTCCTTCAGAAGCCGCCCCTCGGTCCGAAAAAAAAGGGTTCCCGTAGCGCCAAACACCTTCGTCCTCGTCCGTTTCAAGGAACAAGATGTAGTGAAACATCCGGAGCATCATGCGGTCCACTTTCCTCGTCGCAACCATGTCTTTAATTCCAGGTTTATGTTGACGTTTCAGATGCCCGCCCGCCGATTGCACGATCACTCCCCTTAGTGCGAGAATGTCGTCGAGGATCGACAGTTTCTCGACATTGGTCATGTCGGCGAGACACTGCCAACAGAACATGTCCGGCTCCTTCACGATCACAAAAAACTTGTCGTCCGTTTGGGTTTTCTTTTTGGTCGGAGGCGGCGGGACCCGGACCAGCCACCCCATCTTTGTTTTACCAGCCGCCCCTTTCGAGCCCATTTCCGGAATTGCTTGAAGACCCGGAGATTTGTCTGGCATGTATTTGCCCCACCTCGACAATGGCGTCTTTCCGTCGCCACCCAACAACTTCCTCTCCGCCCATTGGTCGTAGAACTCCATGCCTTTGTGGAAAACGTTATCACCGGCCGTCACGAGCGGCACTCACTGCCTCAATGCATTGCCAACGGCAGCGACGTACTCCTTATCGGCGAGCGATAAATCTTTTTTTGCCAACGTCCAGTGAGCCTTGTTCAGACTCTTTCCCAAAAACAGCTTTTGGATTCGTGGTAAGATTTGTGAATAGGACCACTCGCATATCTGTCAATAGCCAGCTCTGTGTTCGTCCAAATTGATGTCATGGGCTAATGTACCTATTACCACTGGTTAAAAAAAAGCTTGTGGGCTGTGGGTTGTTTTCTATGTTCTACAGGTGTGAGGTTGTTAATGTCCCTGCCCATGAAGCTTTTAAAAGCCGTGCGCGAGAAACGTCTTTCAGGGAGGTCATTAGCCGCTTTACCGAAGAAGTCGTCAAGTGTAGGGTTGTTTAAAAATGTCCAGATGCCTCGCCTTTCCCAGAGAGCTGTCAGGGTTCTGAAGGCTTGTGGAATAGATAAGGAGGAAGGTCTACGGAAACATTTGGCTGCGTCTATTGAGAGCGTTACTGCTTTGTCTGATGGGTCTGATGACGATGGCGAACGGGGTGTCTTGAAAGACCCGTGTCCTAAGTACATCGCGAAGGACACATTCAACAGTCGAGGATACAACTTTTATGGGAAAAGGGCAGACAGTTCTTAGCCATTCCGCCCCTGGGTTTGTGCTCACTCCTCACACTTGTTCGTGAGTGTTTGTGCAGCTGGGGCTACATCATGTTTTCGCGTTCCCTTGCCTACTGAGGAGCTTAGCGCTGCGGACTTCAGAATGTTGCAGGACGTCTGCGGAGATTTCAGCAACAGCCAGGAGGTGGTTTCCCCGGTTCGCAAAGGTCCCAGTTCGATTACGTTGACCAGAAAAAGTCTTCAAACTCTTGTCCAGGTGGAATGCTTTTCCGACGAGGTGGTGTAGTCGTACTTGGCCTTGCTTGCCAACGCTGCGTTCCCTGGGGGTCCCTCTCTTTACATTTTCAGTCCCTTTTTCTATACCAAGCTCGTCGGTGGCGGCTATCGACATGAAAGGGTCACGAAATGGACAAAAGATGTGGATATTTTCTCGTACGGCATGGTCTTGATTCCTGTCCATAAAAATCGAGTGCATTGGACCCTATTATGTGTCCGAGAACAAGGGCTGGAGTACTACGACTCCCTCCTACAAGACGATGGCGGTTTTTCTTCCGATGTGCTTGCGAACTTCACGCAATACCTCCGCGGCGAAGCGGCTCGTCGATATGGTCAACAAGCCAAACTGGATCTCCCGGCGCCCAAGGTGGTTGCTCATGGTGTCCCTCAACAGTCGGACGGGTCGACTTGCGGTGTTTTCATGCTCGCCTTCGCTTCTTTTCTTGCACGCGGCTACCCGCCACCATTTCCGATAGCCCAAAGCGACATTGCAAACATCAGGCTGAGGATTGCGGTGGACATACTCCAAGGCTCTGAATAATACCCCTGTTGTTAAAATACAAGTAGTTTTTTTTTCCAAAGGCCATAAGCAGAAGTGCGAATCTATTCCCACTTGATCTGGCAATCAACCGGTTCGAGCTGTGCTGTTGTTTTGATGAGGTGCCGGATTGCGGAGGACGTTTTTAGGTGTCGATGTGAATATCCCAACCTCGTGCTGTACCAATTTTTTAAAGGGTTTTTCATTTCGTGGAACCTGTCATCTTTATTCGTAGGACTTTCAGCAGCGCCTTGCTGCCTTTGTTTGTTTTAGGGTTGTTCTCATTGCTTGCCACGCAACATCAGCTAGTGGGTAGCAGCGGACGCTTACGTGAAGTAGAAACTTAGATGCCAATGTAAATACCCCAGTCACGTTGTGCACTTCCTTTTAAGTAGACGCTTACGTATCGGATGTGAATATCCCAACTTTGTGCTCCTTTGGTTTATTTTCGGGTTGTTCTCCTTATGTCCTCTCAGACCGCAGCAGCACCGTGCTGCGTTTGTTCGTTTCGAGGTTGTGCTCCTCTCTTGCTCATGTGAAAGATATCGATGATTTATTCTTGGTCGCCAAATTGTTTCATGCTTTTCTCTTTCATTCGTGAGACTTTGTGGGTGAAAGCCCCTTTCCCCCGCCCCACCCCGACCACCCAGCTTTCATATGTTTTGGCTCGCCGTTGTTCTGCGTGTGCCGCCCCGTTTTACGGTTCACCCCCTCTGCTTGTCTCGATTGAATGCTGTCTGTTGGTTCCTTATGACAGTTGCGAACTTGTTCTCCATTCGGAAACCAATTGTCATCAGAATGTATGTGTGCTTGAAGTTGTTTTACGGATTCAACGGTGCACTGAGTGATCACCAATTTTGTTATCCCCGGAATACATCTCATGCTCTCCACGGAATGCTAGTTGTTGTTTCCGTATGAGAAATGCGAACATATTCGCTCTTCGGATGCCGTGCATTTGTGATTGAACTGTTGGTTCCATGTGAGAAATGAGAACATATTCGCACTTTGGCTCCATGTACTTTGTGATATTTGGAAAGCCTCCGTGCACTTTGCAATATGGGATTGCATGATATTTCGCGTTCAATGACTTTTTGAAACGTCTCTATGTGCTTTGCAATTTGCCCTCGAATGAATTTTCTGCATTGAATGGTTTCTGGTACCTGTTCGTGTGGTGTGAGACTTCACCTTTGGAAAAACACTAGGCAACTTGAGATGTTTTCACCTCGATGTTTGCGATATCTCTGTGTGCTTTGCAATTTGACTTGTGCTTGAAGTTGTTTAATGGATTCAGCGGTGCACTAAATGATTGTCAATTTTGTTATCCCCGGAATACATCTTGTGCTCTCCACTGGATGCTGGCTGTTGTTTCCGTATGAGAAATGCGAACATATTCGCACTTTGGATGCCGTGCATTTGTGATTGAACTGTTGGTTCCATATGGGAAATGAGAACATATTCGCACTTTGGCTCCATGTACTTTGTCATTTTTGGAAAGCCTCCGTGCACTTTGCAATGTGGCATTGTATGATATTTTGTGTTCAATTTAGAAAGTCTCTGTGCTTTGCAATTTGCCCTTGAATGAATTTTCTGCATAGAATGGTTTCTGGAAACTGATCGTCTGCTCTGAGACTTCACCTTTGGAAAAATAGTGCGCAACTTGAGATGTTTTCACCTCGATATTTGCGATGTCTCTGTGTGCTTTGCAATTTGACTTGAGATATTTTCATCTCGAT